CTAAGAGGTGAACCATTGTAACTGTTGATGGGGAGGAAGATGTTGTTCCTCCAGGCCATCTGAGCCCTGTGTTTGTTAAGGGTAGTGATGGCTTTGCTGAGTGGTTACTGTGGTAATTGGAACAGGCCTGTGTATTCTCTTTCAACATTACATTTAGATTTTAACTTGACAGTTTTCTGGCCACACTAGCAGTTCTGACTTCCAATTTCAAGGAGCTACTATGAGGTTTACATAACACTTTGTAAATGTTGAACACCTATAGATTGAATGTATCTTTTGAGGTAAATTGTGTGTCATTAACGAATTTTGGTGTATAGTATGTTGATGAATAAAACTTCATATTCAAACAGTTCCTACTATGATTATATGATAGCATTTTCAATGAGATACTAATTTTAGTGTTTCAAACAGGGTAATCTCCTTTTATCTTATAAGTGTAAGTTTCCTAAGTCCCAAACCAGACTAGGGTACAATTGTTTGAACCTTCTAATCACGTGAGCTTTGATGACTTTTCTCTCTACAATTCAACATGGTTTAAATGCCTCTATGTTTCTTCTCTGTGTTGTCTGCTTAATGCTTATGAAAACCAGTCATGGTGCTTTTGGTTCATAGATAGCTTTGGTCCAAAAAATAATAATTTATGTTTCCAGAAATTTGGAAGCTATGAGAGAAGATATATTGAAAACCTTTTTCTGAATGTATTTATCAGTTCTTGCTCCTTAACTCAATTTTGATTTCCTGTTTTATCCAATTATTTAATATATTGTGTAAAGTGTTATTGTGTGAGAGCAGATATATATTGGAAGATAATTTAAAATGCATCCGGTAAATAGATGACTAGTTATCCTTTAAGGTAAAAAAAATTTGTACCTGTTTTTGCATTTTAATAATAATTACCTTTTGTTCTTATTAGTCACTGTGCTAAAAACTTTATATGTTGTTTTATTGAAATTTATTACTATAAAGAAGACTCATTTATAGTAAAAGTTGCAAGCAATACAGAAAGTAAAATGTGAAACTCTTCTCTACCTTTCCAAATGGCCCAGTCCAACTCTCCAGCAGGAAACAATGTTAGCATTTTCCTGTGTCCTTCTAGAAATTATCTATGTATATACTGATAACATATGTGTGTCTCGCCTGCTTTTTTTTTTTTTTAATGAAATAGATTCATACCATATAGGCTGTTCTGCAGTTAGGTTTTATTCACACATAAAGACTTACTTTGGACTTTTTCCCCTAACAATAATCCTGATCAAACTCATTCTTTTTTGTTGTGCAGAATACCCAATGTATGGGTGTAACAGAATTTAAGCCCCCTATTGATAATTTAGATCATTTTCATTTCTCACCATTATAAGCAGTGGTGCAATCACATCTTTATCCAGACACTTATTTTTACACATTGTTCAAGTATATCGAAAGGATAAACTCCTAATAGAAATGTAAGTCAAGAGATGAGGGCATTTTAAATTTTGATTAGTAGTGCCATGTTGCTCTCTTAGAAGGTTGTACCAATTTGCATTTCAAACAAATTTAACTCTAAGAAGAACCAAGACTTAGAGTCTCTAAGAGTGTAAATAACTTGACCCAGATTCTCAGTCAGTAACTAGTAAGAGTCAGCTTTCAAATTCATACCTACACAGGCCATTTCTTCTAAGCTACAGATATCTCCAATGCCATTTTAAAACATAATTTGAGCTTTGAAACTAGGAAACATCATTCTATATTTTTTGTATATTCTCATCACTCAATCAAGCAATAGTAATTATTATTCCATTGTAAATACATAGCCCTTTATGGTTTTCAAAACATTTCTACATTCTCGTAATAATCCTATGAGACGGACATTGATTTGTATCCTGGTTTATACATGTAAAGAACTGAGTGAGGCTCAAAGAAAAAAAAAATCTGAAATTTAAAAATCTAATCAAAAGATTGTCCTTGGCCAAAGGACTCATAGTCCCCAAATGGCTAAAGGACTCAGGACATGAAAATGCTAGTAGAAAAGTGAAATAGGGGGTGTGAGATTAGTGGATTTGGTTGTATTGATATTGGCATATTATATTCATGAACAACAGGAAATACACTGAAATATCTGGCTGTGGACCTCATCATACCTCAAGCCAGCACCTCAAGACTAGCTTTCTTTTGGCAGTTCCTGTGTGTTATGGCCCTGGGGAAAACAGGTGATTTCAACATAGCTCTTTTAAAGTGGTTCATTATGTTTGATCCAAAACATGTTTTAAACTTCCACCATAAATACTGTTACCCCTGTGCTTGTAATCACATAGCCTTACATTTATCACAATAATTCCTTTTTATGATGTTGAATCTTCCTCTATCTCACCTCCTTTCCTGTTCTCTCAAAATCTTTTCTCATTTGTTTCAGTTCTAATGAAAGAAGGTCTTTCTCTGTGTGGCCTTGAAGGTCACCTCTTGACTTCAGATTGAAACTTTGCTCTTCTCCTGGTCACCTGAGGTCTTACACAAACACACCCACTGAACTTAATCTGTAGACATTTCGTAGAACACATTTTTGTGTATTTTTCCTTTTTTATTATTTTTTATTTATAATTCACAACTTATTTATAAAGTCAGTTTGATTGTTGCCATTTTATGATTAAAGAAACTAAATCGTAGAAAGCTCATATGACTTAACTTCAAATACAAGCCAAAGTCAGAGTTCAAATTACTCCTTACTGTCCACTCATACCTACTTCATAGCAAGAAGTCTCCAAGTTACAAAACAAGTTGTGTTCCCCAAATTCATTTTTAAGTCAGTTATTTGGCACTTGAACCACGCTGGGGAAAAAAATGTTATAAATGGTGATTAGGTCCCTCGGCTGGCCTGCAAAAATCTATTTAACTCTTTTGTAACTACAGAATGATGCATTTGCAATAAAAATGAGAGACAATGATAGTTGTAATGCTTGTGACAAAGAAGAAAAATTATTTTTCCTGAGGAAAAGCAGATTCAATTAGGAGATAAGGAAACAGATGAAATTTTGGAGACTGTAGAGGGGATTTCAGGGCGTTTTGAAGGCTGTTCAAGATTGATGGCATTCTGTGTTAAGCTCAGTTTCACGTGAAAACTTGGAGGATTTTTGTTGTTAGATTCTTCGCAGTAGCATAACTCACCCGACAGCTGTGATTGGAGTCGGTAGGATTGATTGAATTAATACTTAGAGAAAAGACTCTCTGAGATGATGTTAACCAATCTAGGATGGTAAGAACACACCCAAACCAGAAAACGTCTTCCTTCTACCCTGATGGAAGGGTCAGGAGGAGGTCTTGATCCCCCCATTCAGCCCAGCAGATCTCATCAGCTCGGGCAGCTCGGCTGAGGTCGGAAGAGAAGGCTCGGGGATATGAGTCACGGGTGGAGGCAAGAGAAAGCATGTGCCTTCCGTGATTCCTGTGGGGTGTTTGTACAGTGAGGGTTTTGAATTCTGAGAAATGACTGCATTTATCTCCTCGAGCGATTGCTTCTTGCATGATCTAGACTCTTTCACTGAACCATACAAATAAACATCTTAAATGTCAATTAAGATTTTAAGAAGTCTAGTGCCTTTTTTAGATGGCCTTCAGTTGCTATGTTTTATTGTTTCCAGGATATTTGCATACAGCTTTTTCTTTTGTTGACAACAAAAGGGAGGATATGTCCTTCAGTCAACAGAAGCTTAAGTGAGCAGGTCTTGCTGTGATGGCATATTCAGCAAGTCACGGAAGGAAGATTAGAGTTTGTGCCTCCTGGGTCAGTTTGGGGCTCATACCAGTATATCTACCCTGGCTTCCTACTAGTTGGATCATCCATTTAACTACCATTGCTTTGTGCTGAGTATATTATTTGAATGTTTTATAGTGGGTCTTTATACGCAGGAGTGATTTACTGAAGGAGAGAGCAACTGTGTTCACTGCACTTCAGAATCCTTCTTAATGGTCATTATAAAAGGAAGTTGGGACTGGCAGACAGACCACTTTCAAAAGTGATGATAAAACTGATGAGAAAAGTAACATCTACTTGATTTACACATATGTTTTGATGTTTAGAAATGCTTTGTCTTTTCACTGAAACAATTTATAAATAAAATTTTTAATGTCCACATTAATTCTTCCATTTCTTATAGCACTGCTGTTTATATAACTGAATGTGTGTATGTGTGTGAGTGTTTGATGAGCTCTGTCCAAAAAGTAAATAAATCAGTAATGCTAATTTGCATCCTAGTACAATGAGTATCCTCTGGGTATTAATATTGATACTATTATTGATACTTATAGCTGATAGTGGTATCTTCTGTCTCCTCCCCATCCCCACCCCCATCCTAAAATGCTCTAATTCTTAACTGACACTTGCACAGCTTGGATGAGGAGAGAAGAAAGGCACAGAAAGTCGGGGAGGGGCGGGAAGGAAGGAAGAGGATAGGAGAGGGTTCTCATGGTACGTGCAGTAGCAAGCAGGAAAGAACAGGGGGCCGGACGCATTGGCTGCTTCTCTTGCAGGTGTTGCCGGCCTTCCCCCAACACTTTTCCAACTCCTGCAAGAACCCTTGCTTTCAAAGAGCTGTTTTCCTTTTTTAAAATTAATTAATTAAGTTGAAATATAGTCAGTTTACAATGTTGTGTCAGTTTCTGGTGTACAGCATAATGTTTCAGCCATACATGTACATACATATATTCCTTTTTATATTCTTTTTCACTACAGGCTACTACAAGATATTGAATATAGTTCCCTGTGCTATACAGTAGAAACTGGTTGTTTATCTATTTTTTATATAGTAATTAGTATCTGTAAATCTCGAACTCCCAATTTATCCCTTCCCCACTGGTAACCATAAGTTTGTTTTCTATGTCTATTTCTGTCTTGTAAATAAGTTCATTGGTGTCTTTTTTGGGGGGGTGGGGAGGATTCAAAGAGCTGTGTTTTAATATTTTTCCTGTCTTTTCTATATAATTGCCTGCTGGACTGTAGCCTGATGATTTTCTATCCTTTCTTTTCTTAGGGCCAAGAAATTGGAGCATGGCTATGAGCAACGGAAACAATGATTTTGTGGTTCTGAGCAATGGCAGCATCACAACCAGTGCTACCAGTCCTGGTCCCCTCACCCCCTGTGATGGAGACCTTGCAGCCCAGCAGCTCACACCCAAAGAAGCACCAAGAACAAAAGTGAGTCCAAATGGATGCCTGCAAGTTAATGGCACAGTTAAATCATCCTTTCTGCCTTTAGACGACCAAAGAACACCTCAGAGGTTGTCCCAGTGCTGCCATCCTTGCCCATACCATCACCCTTTGACTGGCCATGACAGTCACCAAGAGTGCCATCCCGAGGCTGGCCCTGCAGCACCTCCCGCTTTGGCCTCGTGTTGCATGCAGCCACACTCAGAGTACTCTGCATCTCTCTGTCCAAACCATTCGCCTGTTTATCAGACTGCGTGCTGTCTCCAGCCCTCTCCATCCTTCTGCCTGCATCATCCGTGGCCTGACCATTTTCAGCATCAGCCAGTGCAGCAGCACATAGCCAGCATAAGGTGAGTGGTGTGAAAGCTTTGCTGGACGTTAGCATTCAGCTGATTCTGTGTGAATGTGACAGCTTCTGTTGAGGATTTCTCCAAAAGAAGGAGGGAAAAATGTGTCAGGGAAAGGAAACCAATGAAAAATGTGCATTTCATGGATTGTGTGAAGCCTACTAAAATGCAAATGAACGAATATTGCATCTGCTTTATCTGTTGACATCTTAGTCAATTAAACCCTCCCTTCCTTTTTTCTTGTCTGCGAGCTGGGTAGGTATCCCTGGTAGGCTTTGAATTGTAAAGTTCAGTATAAGGCTTTATTGTTAGTAATTTCCGTTACTAAACACGGGGGCTATATTTGTCATGAGACAGCCTAAATAGGAGTCTTGTATTTGCTATTATTGATAGTGGTCAGTGTTTATGAAAAAGTGGTACAAAACCAGTTGCTTCCTTACGGCTCTACTTACAATTTCTAGTCATGTTATCTGGGTGGAGATCGTACAAAAGCAACAGTTCTTTCACAGCAGATGAAACCTATAAATCTGTAGCACTGGACTTAAAAAAAATTTTTGTAAAGCATTTTCAGATCTGGTAGAGTGAAAAGTACTAGAAAAATCGCTATCATTGCCACATCCTTCCCAGCTTAGGCCATTGTTTCTCTGGCATGCGCTTTTCAACTGTTTTTCTCATGGGTAAGTCACATGTATCGCAGGTGAGCAATGGTAATATATTTTATGAAATACTGGGTACTCTGCAGAGACCAAGAACCATTTCACATTTTTCGGAAATAAAAAGTTTTTAAAGCGCTAGAAGAGAACATTTTCTTTTTAAAGTTAGGGTATAATTTATGTACAGGGAAATGTGCATATCTTAAGTGTGCAGTTTGATCCGTTTTGACACCTGCATACACTAGTGTAATACACACCTCGGTCGGATGTAGAAACTTCTGTCACCCCAGAAGATTCCTACTGTCTTCACCAGGAGCACAGCTCTGAGTCCTGTTACCACCGATTATTCTCTTTGCTATGAAACTGTAGGTACTCTTTTGTGTCTGGCAATTTCGACTCAGCATAACATTTTTGAGACTGCCTGGTTGCTATGTGTATTCATTTCCCTTTTTATTGCTGTGTAGTAATCCATCATATGCATGTAGCAAATTCACTTTTAATTTAAGAGTCAGTACAGACTTCCATTTCTGTAATAAATTTTAAGTCATGAGGACGTCATGTACAGCACAGTGACTAGAGTTAGTAATGCTGCATTGTATTTCTGAAAGTTGCTAAGAGAGTAGATCTTAAAAGTTCTCATCACTGAAGAAATTTTTTAAGTATGTGTGGTAATGGATGTCCACCAGACTTCTTGTGATCATTTTGCAATATATACAAATATCGAATCATTATGTTCTACACCTGAAACTGATATAATGTTATATGTCAGTTATACCTCAATAGAAAAAAAGAGTCACAGCTAGACAGGGATTAAGTAATAAATACTTTTCAGCTTTATCAGGTTTCAGATGCTGTTGAGATGATCTGGTTTCACTCTTTTAAAAAGAGAGGAAGAGAAAGAGAGTGAGGAGTCCTCTGCAGTGTTTCTACAGGGTCTGAATCCATTTTTCCATATCAGATGTGAGTCTCTTAGTTTGAGGAACTGTGTATGATAAGAACACTCTCCAAAGTCATTTCTCAGAAGGTTGGTCCTGACGGCACTGTGCTGCCCGGCCAGTTTTAGGCTCTTTCCACTCTGAGTGAGACTGTGGTTAAGTGGTTGATTTTGAAATTGTATAGTCATAAAAACATTGATATTTTCGAATCATAAATTATATGGGTGCAGAGTGTGAGATGAGACAGATAGTTCCACATTCTGAAGATGACTCCTCCTTTGAAAAACTTCACAAAATGGTAAAACAACACACAAGCAACCAGTTGTTTCAATACAACAGGCATGTTGGTTTTTTCAGGACTTTGGCTTAGCGTTCTCAATGACCAAATTTTAAAGGAATGAGAGTCCTATGTACATACGACTTTAAATAGAATGGCATTAAAAAACAAACTGATAAAACAAAATGTCATATTTTTCCATCAGGAAAGTTGTAAAAGAAACTGGAATATTGTGTGAGAAATTTTTCTTTTTAAAATTTTATCTGAAGAATTTGAGCCTTTGATAAACTGTAGCAGACATAGAACCTATTTTTTCTTTTCTTTTCTTTTTTTTTTTTAACTGAAGTACAGTCAATTACAATGCGTCAGTCTCCGGTGTACAGCACAATGTCTCAATCTTGCATATACATAAATATATTCATTTTCATTTTTTTCCCATTAAAGGTTATTACAAGAGATAGAACATAGTTCCCTGTGCTATACAAAAGAAACTTTTTTAAAAATCTATTTTCATATAGAGTGGCTAACATTTGTAAATATCAAACTCCCAAATTTATCCCCTCCCACCCTCTTTCCCCAGTAACCATAAGATTAGATTGTTTACTAAGTCTGGGAGTCTGTTTATGTTTCGTAGGTGAGTTCATAATGTCCTTTTTTTTTAGATTCCACATATGAGTAATATCATATGGTATTTTTCTTTCTCTTTCTGGCTTACTTCACTTAGAATAACAATCTCTAGGTCCGTCCATGTTGCTGCAAATGCTGTTATTTTATTCTTTTTATGGCTGAGTAGTATTCCATTGTATAAATATACCACAATTTCTTTATCCAGTCATCTGTTGATAGACATTTAGGTTGCTTTCATGTCTTGGCTATTGTAAATAGTGCTGCTATGAACATTGGGGTGCATGTATCTCTTTGCATTAGAGTTCCCTCTAGATATATACCCAGAAGTGGGACTGTTGGATCATATGGTAAGTCTATTTTTAATTTTTTGAGGAATCGCCATACTGTTTTTCATTATGGCTGCACCAAATTACATTTCCACCAGCATTGTAGGAGGGTTCCGTTTTCTCCACACCCTCTCCAGCATTTATCATTCATGGACTTTTTAGTGATAGCCATTCTGACTGGTGTGAGGTGATACCTCATTGTAGTTTTGATTTGCATTTCTCTGATAATTAGTGATATTGATCATTTTTTCGTATGTCTATTGGCCATTTGTACAGGCGTGGAATCTTTTAAAGAAGAGAGACTAGTAGCTAGAGGAGAGGTGTATTGGGATTAAATCCTGAAGGACATTGTAAACCACAGTAGGAGAGCTCTGGACTTTATCCTGAGACCAGTGGGGAGGCATTATAGATTTTTGTGTGTGCATGACTTTTTATATTGTGAAAAATATACAGAACATAAAATTGATCATTTTAACCATTTTTATGTGTACAGTTCAGAAGCATTAAATACATTCGCACTACTGTGCAACCATGACTACCATCCCTTCTCTGGAACATTCTTCATCTTCCCAAGTTGAAACTCCATACCCATTAAACAATAATTTCCCACTCTTCCCTCCCCCAGCCCCTGACAACCACCATTCTGTTCTCTATCTTCATGAATTTGACTGCCCTAGGTACTTCATATAAATGGAATCATACAGTATTTGTCCTTTTGTGACTATCTGATTTCACTTAGTATAATGTCTTCAAGGTTCATTCCAAGTCATAGCATGTATCAACATTTTCTCCCTTTTTAAGGCTGAATAATATCCCATTATATATTGATACCACAGTATGTTTATCCACTTAACAGCAACTCAGGTTGCTCCACCTTTTGGCTATGGTGAACACTGCTGCTGTGAGCATGGGGGTACAGAGATGTTTGAGTCCTACTTTCACTTTTGATTATATGCCCAGAAGTGCTGTGACTGGATCATATGGTAACTCTGTGTTTAGTTTTTAGAGGCACCACCAGACTGTTTCCATAGCTGCTGTTTTACTTTACATACCCCCCCCCAGCAGTGCCCATCCTTGCTAACACTTGTTCTTTTCTGTTTTGGTTTTTTTTTTTTTTTAATTTTTATCGTAGCCATCCTAACGGATGTGACACTACAGATTTTTAAGCAGAAAAGACACACTCTCAAAGTCACATTTTAGTAGCGGCCCATGAGCTGTGTTGTGGAGAGTGAACTGTCCTGGGTCAGGACGGTTGTAGGGAGGGAGAACATTAGAAGGCTTGCTGCAGTAATTCAGGTGAGAGACAATCCCAGATTTGGAAATAATTTCATGCTAGAGAGATTTATGAGGTAGAATCTACTAGATTTGGTGAACAACTGGATATGAGTGAGGAAGGGAAGAAGAATCACAACTGACTTTCAGTTTCCTGGCTTGGGCAACGAGGTGGGTAGGTGGTAATGGCAGTCACTAAGATGGAGAGGATGGGGGAAGAGCTCTGAGCAAGCAGGGCTTCTTGGGTGGGGCGGGGGTGGGCAGAAACAGTGGAAGAGTGTGATCCTTTGGGATTTCTTGAAAGAATGAGGATGCTGGATAATTCATGACAATTACATTGAGGAAAACTATACTGTTGGAGATTATCCTGGAATGAAAACTGTCACATTTAGACTCAGCCCAGTGTGCATTTATTTGCAGGACTGTGCTATGGGAAAGGCACCCAGCCACGTACTATGTCTCTCTTTCTCAAACCAGTAAGATGAGCTCGGAAGCAAATGTGGATGTGGAAATAGCTACTGTGTAAGGGAGAGCAGGGAGTTTGGGATAGTCTACGTGGGATGTCCTCGCTAAGAAATTCTGAAAATGAGGATGTCATACGACACTTCGCTGCCTTCTATTACTTATTCTACCCAGCACTTTAAGGAGAATTATTGGAACAAAGGTTCTAGAGGCTGATCTCCACCAGGAACTCTCTACGTCTGTTTGTTTTCCTTTTGTGATTTCTGGAATGTTGCTTTTTGAAAAACTGATCATCTCAAATACTTAAGGAAGTATTATTCAATTAATGTTTAAGATGAATTCATGACTTCATAAAAGTACACGGTGTTCACATTGCTTAAAGAGTGTCTTAAAGGTTGATGGCTCTCTAGGAAAGCTGTATAGATGAAAGAGTCTAGGTACCTTCACATGC